GAAACAGAAAACTGATACAAACCTCTTGCCACTAATTATCACCACTTTGTGTGCTAATAGCCTCAAGTGCTACAAACAGCTGAAAAACATTAGACATTTAGCAGCTCCAGCCCAGCTAGTTAATCGCTGGACTGACAGCTCGAATCGGTGATGGCAAATTCTGCTTGTTCTTGACCTTGCAGTCACCTTTAGCTGCCTTTTAAATCCCAACACACAGCGGATAATCAGAGTAGACCTTTCCTCCGTGAGAGTGTATATATGCGGATACTTTCAAACTGGTTAACAGTGTTGTGATAGACAACACTAAATATCATGTCCTGTCCGAGAGGCTGCGGTTAAATCTCTCCCCGTGTGAAGTGTGTCTCTGACATACTGTAAATCCTCTGGTAAAACCCTGCAGGCACACAGAGCTCTGCAGCAGAAATTTGTCTTGTCCCACCATGCATCTGGTATGTATTGATTGTACTGTTTTGGACGGCGGGGACTGCAACACGGAGGAGCAGCAGAGAGAGAGAGAGAGAGAGAGAGAGAGAGAGAGAGAGAGAGAGAGAGAGAGAGAGAGAGAGAGAGAGAGAGAGAGAGAGAGAGAGAGAGAGAGAGAACTTGTACATACCCAAATACTGTGTGTTCATGCATGCATCCCTGTGCATATTTACATGTGTACTTGCATCTCAATTTGCAGCCATGTTTACATTCAGTATGCATGTAGGGATAAGGACTGCATATCATCTATCCTGCAACAACTGCAATGCAGCCAGGTTGGGGCTTCAGCTTTGTCTATTTGCATTCAGGCCAGGTATAATGGTGGGAGCTCCAGCCATCGGCGTCTCCACACCTCTGCACTTCACACAGCATCCAGCTGTTCAGCGCAATTAACATCTGTACAGAAGGTGTGCTGGGATTAAAGTTCCATATGCCAGACCAGACCTGAGAAGAGCCTCAGCATGTAAAGACAAGCTGACCCGTGTGTCGACGCTGCAGAAAAAAAACAACTGAATTAATATCAAAACGTATCATATGCAACATATTTAAAAAAAAAAAAAAAAAACAATGTTTAGACGCCACTTTGTCAAACTTTAACCTTCCGATTCATGCCTTGGTTCTCACTAACCTCCGGCCCCTCTCTTCTTTCACTCTTCAGCTCGCTCAGTTTGATGAGGGGCTTATTTCGAATGCTGTGTTTGCAAACGGCAAACAACAAAGCGACCACATATTACACCTTTAAACATATTTACAAGCTGTGCCCCTTTATTTACTGATTTTAGCACAATTTGGCTCTCCCTGTTTCAATCACAATATAAAAAGCATGAATGAGCACACAACTGCACTATAAAACACAACTGTAATGCACCAGACAGTCAGTCTGTTACATTCTTATAATAAACACTGAACGTATCTGACAGTATGGACATTCAGTGGGACCAAAAGGAGTAAAATACAGAGACCAAAGGGATGGAGAATTTAGGGTTGATTGTGTGAGCAAACCCAAGGAAGGAGGATGCTAGTGGCAAATCAAACGCTTCTGTAATTGGGAGAGTTTTGTTGCGTGTGTGTGTGTATTGGGAGTGTGCAGACGGGGCGGTAGTTAAGCTGCTGAACGATGGGCAAATAAAAAGAAGCAGACAACCCTATTCCAGTGAGACGGATGCTGTGTCAGCAGGCAACACATGCACATCACACCAACAAGGGGCCATTGTGAGCGCACGCTCGGTGCTCACAACCATGCACGTTGGCACACAAATACACATGTTCTGCCTTTTGGTTGAAGAAAAAAAAAAATCCATAGACAAGATCCTTGGGTAAACAACAACGATTGCAGTTATGATTGCTCAGCTGTTAGTGTAGATGACAGTGTGTGCGCGCTTCACAACAGGCAGCAATGATTGAAAATCAACCCTGTGAAAGTAGGTCACCCATCCATCTGCACCTGCACCCTATAATGTTTTATGACAGGTGACACGATCGCTGATAGCCGCGCAGTAACCGATGGCATATTATTGTTACGTCTTTGTGACGGCGTGCGGGGCCGTTTAACTGTGGGGCAAATTAGATTAGTGCAGACGCTAAACAGGTCAGCGCCATAAAGCAATGTTTCACACGCGCTCTCTGAAGCCATTAGAAGCCCATTAGTACGTGTCGTTTTTGTGTGCTGCGGCCTTTTGATCCTGCAGAAGTCACGCACGCAGGAGAGACAGACTCCCCATAGACGCCACTGATCCGTGCATGGGCTAACTAAGCTCGGTTTCGGCATCAGGGAATAGAGCAAATCATCAGCTGTTTAAACAGCGAACAGTCGAGTTGGCTGTGAAGCTTCCACACATCAAAAAAAAAAAAAAAAATCACACAACTCCGTCTCATTGAAGCTGAAACTGTGTTAAAGCTCTGTGAAGTAGAGGTTCATTGATGAAAACATGGATGCATAGAAAATCACAATAAACCCTGAGAAAAAAAAGCATATAGAGAAACCAAAGTCGCCGCCTTGTTCAGAACTACAAAGAGATAATTGCCTTGGTTCTTGTTTCACATCTTTGGCAGGCCCCGGCCATTTATCACTATTAAGCACCTGGTACCCACACAACCACAAGGCTTTTGGTTTCCTTGGCAATGAGCGAGCTAAATCCTGCTCCGCTTCTTCAGGTGGAAGTGAGTCAAGAGTGCTGTTGAATAAATCGCCCCCGTGCCGTGCTCATGCTTTGTGTGAGCTCGGCGTAGAGTAGGGGAATAACGAAAAACAGATAAAGAATAACGAGCACAGAGACGGACGACAGTGTCCTGCCATTGACAACAGACTTCTCCACAGGACAAACACACATTGGCAGATGAGCAGCCAAGAACTACAGAGGCTTATCTGAGATAAACAGGCTGTGTGTTTTTCATTCATCCATCTAGGAAAACACAACTGAGCACCATTGCTCCATTGCTCTTTTTTTCCAGCAGCGCCATGGCACACCTGGGAGCTGTCAATACAGCAGCTATTTGTTGGCCACTGAGCAGCTGCTCTGGGGGAAGGTGCAGCCACGTTATGACTAAAGTGATGACCCCGAAATCACAATCGCCTCGACCTCCAGAGACCGCTACTGCCCTCACTTGAAATAACACAAATTGTCTTCAATGACCCTTTACAGTATCACACATTAGTGCTGAAATAGTTGATTAACTGATTTTGTATTTTGGGGGATTTGCTACATTTTTCCATTTATATCTTTGTAAATTGAATATCTTTGAGATTTGGGATGGTCTGTCGGACAAAACAAGCAATTTAAAGCTGTTGCTTTGGTGTCTGGTGACTTGTGATGGATGGGACTAAAGCATGTTTTTTTATTGTGACAGCTGCATCACATATATAGAGATGATTAAATGACTATGAGATCTGTAAAAGAGACAGCTGGATGCAGCGTGGATCTCAATAACACTGTAGTGCAAAAGATCTGAATCCTGTTGACTCAGGCAGCATTACAAAAAAATGCCAAGTCACCATGGTAACAAGGGATGCAACAAGCTTTGTAAAACGGGCGATGGAGCCAGAAGGCTGTTCGCCACGAGCATCATGGCGTGATCTATTTCAGTTTAGGATGCAGCGATTAAAATGTATACACACACACACACACACGCACACACAAACGTTGAACAAACCGGATATCCCATCAGATTTTTGTGCACCACTACCACAGTCAGAGCTTTTAGCCACTACAGGTCACGTTGAAGCTCCTTCATATTACATAACTGCGTTGAATTACAGTGGTAGAATTAACCAGGCGCTGACGAAATCAAAATTCACACACGAGCGGTATTTAAAGCTGTGAAAACAATTGCTGCTTTATCTGGACCCCCTCGATGTTTGTTTGTTTTTTTTTTTGTTTTTTTTGCGCCAACACGTCAGTAACCACCAGCGATAGTCTACAAAGTTGCGTAACATTACAGTCACATTTCCCCCAGTGCCTAACGAGAATATTTAAAACTACCCATTAAATAATCATGGAGGGATACATCTCACGGTAAACTATAACACCAGTCCACAATAACATAGCATGTATGGACATTGCATTTTTAATTCGCGTAAACAGGAATAAGGCGATAATCCCCCCAGTCTCAGTCCACCCACATAAAGACATCTGGGAAAACATCGAACATCGATTATTTTTTGGGGGGGACAGGCAGGATGGATGGATGTGCGCCTACCTGTCCGCAGGTTGTAGGAGAGCCGGGCTTCAACGAGATATGGGGTATCGCTCTTGGAGCGGAGTCTCCTTCTCGGTCTGCGGTCTGTGCTGCTGTCTGGAGTGGTCGCCATCAATTTTGGACTAGTGTCCGGGGGATGACTGCCGGCCGACTTGGGCAGACGCAGAACCTCGGCCACTCACACTGAGAGGTGGCTATCGATGGGGAGGAGGGAGTTCACAGAGGGAGGGAGGGAGGGAGAGAGAGAGAGGGAGAGAGAGAGAGAGAGAGAGAGAGAGGCGTTGGTGGCGGGTGCAGCGTGTGGAAAAAATATATATAATGATGGCAATTTATGGGGGAAAAAGGCAAAATCGAGCTCAGTTTTTCAGTTAAAAATTAGCTTCACCATAATTAAGTAGGCTACAGTAATACATCAATAAAAGTAAATAAAAAAACAACGAATAGCATTCATGCGTCTACATGTAGCCTACATGTAAACATATATAGCATGAAAATGGTGAGAACCACAGGAGATATTTAAAAGGGCATATTTTATTAAGAGGGGACAGTGCAGTTTCATGTGATGTGTCATTAGTTCAGTCATCAGATCTTTATTGTCCCGCAAATGAAAGACTTGTTTTGCAGCAAGGCAACATGAAAACACGGATAGAAACACGGTAAATAGACTGACGGTGGAGCATGAAGTGCTGCTCTGACCATAATCAGGGGAACGAATGAATCATCTGAATGAATCACACTTCCGGCAGTCTACCACTAGATGGCTCTCCTCAACTACACTTTTTTTTTTAACTTCAGTTCATGAGCATTTGTCACAGCGCGGTTTACGACAGTGTGGTGCGTTTTACGGCCTCTCAAGATACATTGCAGTAACAGAGGTAAACCTAAACAAGCAAACTCGACGTGACTTTCTGCTCCGTAAAGTGTGGATATCTTCAAGCGAGGTGAGTACGATAAAGTGACTAAGGAAAGGGCATTTACACGGCCTGTTTTCCAGCCGACATTATCCGTAAACACAACTGTTTGCATGTGCAACTTAGTTCCTGTTTATGTGACAGAGAGCGCAACGAGATTTAATCACCAGCTGACGTCGGTTTATTAAAAGGACTGCGCAATATGTAAGCTACATTTAGCTTCATGCAACATGTAAGCTAAAGTAAGTCTGTTTAAAGATGGTCAACAAACAGCCATAACAATGAGTGCAACTGTAACTAAAGGACGTGTGCAGAAGGTCTATAGGTCTTTGTATTATTTTATACACGAGCCTGTGCAGCCCGTTAAACCTGTTGGGACACATGTGGCTTCGGGCCCCAGCTTGTTGAGGGCGCGCCCAATTGTCTGTTATTATTGGTAGTTTGTACAAGTATTAGGCTGTTTAAAACCAAACTTACCTCTTACTTTTAGCTCCAGTCTACTCGTGTCAGATGTTATGTTACTACAAGTATAGCACGTTAGCGTGTTAAGGCTTTTCTTTTTAAAAGTGGAAAAGTATTATGCTTGCAGTCTGTCCAACATTTAGAGGGAGACGGGAGTCATTCGGCGACATTTTTAATTTCCTCAGTTAATATCATGGCGGCGACTCGTGCGTTTTTTGTTTTTTTTAAAAAAGGTGCACACACACATTCCTGGTCTTATCAGTGTCAAGTGGTCTGGCCTCCTCCTGCAGCCATGTCTGCTATTTATTTTTCATATATTCAGTGTTACACAAAGTGGAACAGTTTGCACATGCTCACTTCTATTGAATATCCTCATTAAATGTCAAAACTTGTGCTTTTTTTCCTACACTTCATTCATAGAGAAATAAACTAAACAAGACGATGTGTTCTTTATGGCTGCAGTATTGCACCAACTGCAGACGTTCCAGAATGCTTTTGCATCATTTTGTATACATGCGTCCTAAATGTAGCGTGACATATCTTTGGTATCTTCGGGGTTCCCTGTTAGGATTTAAGGTTCTGCAGGTCTGAGCAATGCTTGGCTGCACAACGTGAGTTTGTAAATCATCTTCATATTCAGTGCAGAAAAGTCCTGATTGCATGTTATATAAATAGAGAAAATCGTCACCACGCACTGTGAACCAACACTAGTCGGTGAGAACAATATAATAATTTGTTTGCGTTTTTGTGTTCTCTTTTCATGTCTTTCATGTGTTCCTCTGGTCGTCCGAACCGGTAGCGACAATGCTTCTCCAAAGTCGAGCTGCCTTTGCTCTGGGCCTTCGCATGTGCTCCACTCATGTGATGAAAGGCCCTTTGATGGACACAGCGAGACTCAACTCAGGTAACAGGAACGCTGTCTGTATAATGCTGGCCTGCTGCTGTGTCAGGTCAATATCAGTCCTTCATCAAACAATAGATATCAGCCAGTCGGGTCATCCCTCCTCACTGGCCCTGTGCTGAAGAAAATCATTCAGCGAAATCTTGAATAGATAGATAGATAGATAGATAGATAGTTACTTTATTGATCCCGCAAGGGGACATTTTTACGCTGTACTTTTGCAACAAGGTACAGAAACAATCGTAGCAAATGATGTCGGAAAAATCAATCAAGTAGTAACTCCGAATGAATGACAAACAAACCTAATTAAATCAAGCACTATTTAGATGATAAGTTACTATTAAACTCACTCAATGTTAGTGAACCAGTGTTTAATGATTACATCTGTATATTTGCATAATTGATCAGTTGTTCCTGAATCCAGTAATGCAAAGTTTGTGGCAGGGACACTGAAAACACTACAATATATGACTCAAACATTGTAATACTTACTGATATATTGCCCCTTGGCATTAGTGGACTGTTAAAATTGCTGCTGCATATTAGGACGAGCTCAAATGGCTGGATTGATCTGGTATCGGATACCATTATTTTATTAAATAACAATTCAGTACTTTTTTTTATATATATATGTACATACACACGTACACACGGATCCATTCTCGGCCGATACCCAAAACCCAGGTATCAGTACCAGGACTGAAAAAGCCTGATCGGTGCATCCCGGGTTGAAAACGATCAGTTTAACCAACATCTTGATCAGTTGCTTTGTAACTTGTCTTCCATAGTTTGGTTGGTACGGTTTAGAAAATATTCATCACATGTTGCCCTTCTTTGTAATTTCCCAGACATGTCTGAATTCCGCGAGGTCTTTTCCAAAGCCAAGCACATCGCAATCATCACAGGGGCCGGCGTGAGTGCAGAGAGCGGAGTGCCAACCTTCAGGGGAGAAAACGAGAAGTGGAGAAAGTGGCAATCCCAGGTAATTTCTTAAAAAGCAAAACACACACACACAGTTGTGCGTGGGTGTATGTTTTGTCTTTTTATTTAGGTCAAAGTTTTGTTTGGTCTAACATCCAGCTGTGGTTCATAGTTGCTGTGGAGTGGGAGTATTTAATGTTTACATAATACATCTTCACAGCTCAGTGGATTTATCTCGGCAGCAACAGCCAGCAAAGAGAGAAACGGCGTTTGTTGCATAATCTGGTTTCTTGTCGTGGGCTGCAGCAAGATTTACCTCCAGGAGAGAATCCAAAATAGTCTTTCATACAAAAAACAAAAAGCTAATCTCCCTCCCTAATTGAGGTGTTTAAACTTAATCTGTGCTGCCTTTCACTATCTGTCCAATTCTTGCCTCTGAATATTTTTGTGGTCTTGAGTTCTGACCTAAAAACACGCCTGTGCTGATGCATCCTCAGGACCTGGCCACCCCAGAGGCCTTCTCTCGAACCCCGTCTCGGGTCTGGGAGTTCTTCCACTACAGACGGGAGCTGGCTTTGAACAAGAAGCCCAGTGCCGCCCATCTGGCCATAGCAGAGTGCGAGGCCCGGCTGAGGAAGCAGGGGCGCTCCGTGGTCGTCATCACCCAGTGCACAGATGACCTCCACCGGCAGGCCGGGTCCAAACACGTGCTCAAGATTCACGGTGCGGGGCGGAGGTGTCATGCACTCACACTGACATTTCACAGGACCTAACAGACATGATCGTAGTCATTTTGGAATCATTTCATTGGGAACAGTTTTATTACCCAGAATGCTCATTTTATAGGAAAGACATCTAAACTAAAACAGAACTGACGTGTTTCAATGTTTTCAATCTAGAGACATAAATGCTCATGGAGGGTGAAGTGAAGCGGATTCATTGCTCTCTGGGGATTAGTAAAGTAAATCATAACTGAAATCCTGAAGCTGCTGCTGAGTCACATGAGACATTTCACATGGTTCTACTGGGTTATAGAAACATTTAGTGATCAGAGTCGTTGGTCTTTCATACAAACAACCCATGAGCCCACAGTGTTCGCCACTAATTCAATGTCGGTACACCTGAAAAGTAATTTCAAGTGTTGATTCTCTACATCCCGATCTGAAGAAGACAGTTTTGTCTGGATTTTCTGTTTTCCCTCCGGTTTTAAGGGTGGATTCTGGTAAAACCGACACCAAAGCGTTAAACAGTTTTCTTTGCTAAAATCTGGCTTCAATCGAGTTGTGTGAGAGTGAGGAAAACAAAACCATCATTGTCAATACATGGTGTGGAGGGGGAGATGTTTTGTGTGACTCAGGCGGGCCTCGATGAAAAACTGCTGTGTTTTTTTTTTTTGTTTTTTTTTCGCATGTAACTAACTGCAGGCAGTCTGCTGGAGACGCGCTGCGTGAGCTGTGGACATGTGACCGTGAACAGGCGGAGCCCCATATGTGCCGCCCTGAAGGACAAAGGGTAAAAGGCAGCACCTCTGGAGTACGCGCACGCGCACGCTGATCAACATGCAGGATGCGTAGCCTGATCTCTTCAGTTAAACCCCCAAAGTGTCGGGTAAAAAGTAATTTAACCCACTGTGTCTGTTCTCCTAATGTGCAGTGCACCTGACCCAGATGTTGCTGATGCCCAGATTCCTGTGGATAAACTGCCCAGGTAGGATTACCGTCACCTCATATTAATACCGCTGAGGTCAGATTTACTAAGCCTTTTGTACTGCTTTTCTGATGCATAGTACGCATGGAGGTTTACTTTTTACTAAACGGGGGTACCAGCCTGAAAACGCAGTCGTCTTTGCATTCTGCATGGCAGCAGTGAAGTGTCTCTCTCTCTCTCTCTACTTCTACATGCATTTCAAGGAGGGTTGTGCAAATACCAGGAGATTTGGATTGGCTTAGTTTTGTGTGTGCCAGTTTTATGTGGAAAACATTCTCTCCCTGTAAAGAGCAGGTGCAAGCAAAAAAAAAAAAAGAAGGTTGTGGGAAAAAGAAAATCCTGAGTGAACCTGTCTCGCACAGAACTATCTATGGCAGCGGACAAGTGTTATAATGAAGGAACAGAATATCCACATCTTGTACAGTCTGTGCTCATTAAACATTGACTTAAGGAGCCGGGGGGGAAGGGGGAAGTCGTCAGAGAAAAAAACTCTGAATTTCCAAGATTAAAGTAGTAAATTTACGTAAAAAGCCTCTCAAATTTGCAATATTACGGTCATAAATTTATGAGAAAACGTTCCTCCGAACACACTGCGTTACCATGGTTACACACTGACGCTTTTATTAAGGGGCCGTGCCCGACTGTCTGCGTGCAGAGGAAAACAACACAGAAAAGGCACATGACATGAACCACAGATTATGGTGAATTATGTCCTTAGAGCTCAGCCTGCTGCTCCTGTGACCCGGCCCTGGATAAGTGGATAAGAATGGACGGATGGAGGGTCCGCTTCAATATAACACAGATTTTGCACTCGGCCGGCTCACGTTACTGCTGTGTTTACCGGTGGTACTATGGTGTGATGAGGTTGATCCCACTGTTTTATTTACAACTTTAATTTCGGAAATTCTGAGATTTTTCTCATTCCCTTAATTCTCGTTATTATAATTTTTTTTTACCTACAATTACCCGAATACATACAATCAGTATTCTACCAATTACACTCTTTAGATAAGAGGGATTAGGTGCCATTCCTTCTCTATGCTTGTGAGATACTTGTGGTATTAACCACCTGCTGCTCTCAGAGCTTCTGCTGGACCTGCTGCTCCCTCTAAGCCC